AATCCCTGAACACTCGCCTGAACCACCTTTCCTTCTATTCCAAATTTGTTTACTAATAACTAATAATAATTCTAGACAAAAAATTGTGCATATAAGAGAAAATTTAGAAAAGTATTATTTACACTTAATGTTATTTTGACCTCTCCTATACACTCCTGAGATACTGAGATTAGTAGATACTTACCCGACACCTTGTATAAATTCTTAATCTAAAATACATAAAATAGCTTTCACTATTAAATTGCAATTTGTGTCGGTTTTAACGCATTCCTCGATCATTAAACAGTATAGGTACACCAGTTACTACAAAATTTATCAGAACAAACCTGGTGAATCCTTCGCTGAAGAACCCAGGGAAGGCCCAGTACAGAAACCCAACGAAAATCGAAAACTCCAGCACAGATTCCATTGTCCACGCAATGAAAATCCCACTGAGGACCACCATTGCGATACAGTTTGCAAAAAACACGCACTTTTAAACCATAGCAAAAACCAACGTTTTTTTCTGACGTCTACCACCGCGAAACGAAAAAAATCAAGTCGTGAACGAAACAAAAACAAATCAGGTCACACCGCTCAGACACGCGACTGTTTTCAGTTCTTGTCGACGCTGTCATCCGTTATTCAACAAGAATTTTGTCGACGACTGCTACAACGCCACAGCATTACTTTACCACTCGAACGCAAACACCCCAAAACTAGCAATAGGAAAGGCGAATTGTGGCTAGCGCAGTGTTGCCAGATGAAAAAAAATATATATGGTATCCGACACTTGAAAAAAATGGTATTTTACTGACAAATATGGTATCTTGATAACACTAAAATAACAAGGTTTTACACATAATCAATAAGTAAAAAAACAACAGTAATATAAAATTTATAGGTATATTAAACTATGTATTTAAATAACAAAGTATTTTTTATATAGACACCTTTTGTACAAACAGAACAACAAATCTCTAAAACAAAACGTAAACTCAATAAATATGATATATGTAACAAACAAATGCTTAAATACTAATTTATATAGATATACATAAATATAGGTATGTAAAAAGTATAAAAATTATATTTTTTGTATTTTAAAACATGTAGATATACCTACATGATTAACAGGATAAGTGGTATTATTCTTAAAGATTATCACCAGAACATCCAGTAGATGCTGTTTTATCCAAATCTTCAGATTTTTTGTACAGTGTGTCACTAGTCATACGAGATATCATTTTTTTTGTAGGTTCAAAAGTTATACATGATTTGTTAGTTGCCTGGCTGGAAAGTAATAGTGCATCAACTGTATCACATTCTAGTTTATTACATAAATCAGTCTTAATTAGATTGCATTTGGAAAATCTTCTTTCACACTCGGCGTTTGAATGTGGATAACATAATAAATCAAGAACAAAATTGGCTATATTTTCAAATGGCTTTTCACCTAACATATTTTGTATGGTACGTAATTCAGCCCAAAATTGATCTATTTGCATATTAACCATAGAGTCAATTTCAGGATGAGTTTTTATTATAAATAAATCTCGCCACTCATTATCAATCTGTTGTAAAGAAAAGTTTTTAGAGACTCTCGGTATAGCATTTGCCAACTCAATTATTGATTGCGGTTTTGTTTTATTTTTTGGATCCAAAATACAAATAGTTTTTAAAATGTGGTCATCAAAATTAAAACGTTTTAATATTTCTGTGCAACAAGTTTTAAGAAAATTTCTACATCTCAGAAAAAAATCATTTTTTTCTTCTCTTTTTAATGTATTTATATGACCAAGAACTTCAACACCTAAATAAATATTAAATATATTCTAACGCTGACCTAATATTTCTATGCAATGTACAACTCAGGTCTGGAGTGTATTAGGTCAACGAGATAATGCCACTACCCTACCCTGTAGTGGTGTCCTGCCCCCGAGGCAGGGTGTGCTAGCGGCAGCTACAGTGGAGATGGGGTGGGTCTTGGTAGGGAGAACCACTCCAGTAATACACAAGAAAATCTACTTCCAAAATTTTGAAATGGGCGCCAGGTAATTTAAATTTAATTTGTCAAAGTAAATCTGTCAAAGCCAAATCACCAAATCTTTGATTCTAATCTCAACAGGACACTAACAGTCGGGCAAAAGTAAATGATACTACGGCAACCCGTTACCCAATTTATTTACAGCTATATACAAAACAGGTTGTTACTCAGTTCATTCACAAATATGTACAAACACTTGTATAGACCAAAAAAAAAACACAAAAATGTAAAGTAATATATTAACATGTGATTATCTCAAGATTTTATATAGGAAAAGAGTCAAAAACTATACCCCATGGGCGGGGTTCGTTTGCGATTTACTTATGTACCATGGGCTTACGTAAGCGCAGAGTATGTATACCTTGGTATGACAAAATATACCTGTACCTAGGATGGTGTTCCGCAAGTTTTAAGGCTGACCCGAATTGCTCTTTTCCCAAAGCACAATGTTTTTGTCAAATCAATTGCCTATTCTAGTCCCTAGTTTTCTCTAAAGAAATTCTATGAAAATTTATCAACAGTAATCATCAGCTTAAATATCTATCAACATTTGACCCTATGGACTCTCTAAATGTGTATGTCAAAAAAAATATAGTGAATAAAAAAAATAAATGAAGTAAACAGTTCATGCACAATTTGGTTCTACTTATCGAGCCCTGGATTTCAATCTAAATCTCTCGTACACCGTTGGTGGACCCTGCTGAACCCTCGTATACTGGCGACTCCNAGCTTTTTTATTTCATTTCTGACTTTTTTGTAAACTGATAGACACATCAATAACAATTAGGTAATGCGGTCATGTGTAGTAGATGAAAAACTTATTAGTGGTGGGCATTTGTGTAGAAATTACTACGCGTAAGTTGGTTTGTCATCTTTTCGTTTGTAACCAATAATTCTGTCAAATCTCAACCGATTTCTAAAAACGGTACGTCACTGTATTCGCAATGAAAAGGGCTTTAAAATGATGTGCCACAAGTGGGGTAGTTGCATTTGAAATTTTTAAGTTGGGGTTGCTAGGCATTAGGGGGATGAACATATCGAGTTGGCTTGACTGTCAAAAAAGTTCCCCCCAAGAACAAAAATCGACGGGTCTCGGCGAATTTTGAAATATTATTCGGTTTTCCAATTATAGGGGGGGTCAAATTTTCGTTGGGATACCCTATACATAATTTTACTAAAAAAAAAAACGAAGATGTACAAATTAATGCAGTCGTGGTCATTTCGATATGCCATTTGATATCAAGCAATCATAGGAGACCAACCGTCGAGGGTGCTGATGCCAGGGAATATTTGTGTAACTACTTTCTTAAACCTTACGGAAGTATATCTTACCAATATCTTCAATGGGTTTAAAAATAAAATACTACTTACCAGTTACGTTGGATTTTTTGGCCAATTTTTGTCCAGTGGTTTAGGTGTCTACTTTGTTTTTCTGTTTTTAAAGAAGATTAATTTGCCGATTTTAGGAGAAATTGAAGCAAATGGAAATTGGAATATTCTCAACGCTAACACTAGCAATATTATTATTGTTGTTTTCAGACAGAAGAAATATTATATTCAGATGTACTAAAAGTTATTTTATTGAGGACCTTTTCAGGATATGAATTGTTAATCAAAACACCTTTCAACTTTCGTAGTGAGTCTTCTCTAAAAGTGGATGTGGAGGATACACCCTGGGTTTTAATGCCAATACCAAGTTCATCTTCATTTTATAATTATGATATGAGTGGAAATTCAGGTATCTACCACTACTCATCGGTTTCCTGTACCATTTTGTACGTAACGTTCACGTAGAACAGTCATGTCTAGGAAGGTACTGTTGTTAACCTCCTTCTCTGATGTAATTTGAATATTAGCTTCGTAGCTATTAAAAATGTTGAGCACCTCATCAAGCTTGTCATGAAGAACTGCTGACAATAAATCATCTACATATTTTTTAACAAAAGGGATATTGAAAGGTATCTTTGCCAAACAAAACCTAATCAATTTATCAAGCACAAAAATAGGAGAAATTTTGGAGCCCATTAGCGTGCCAAAAATATGTTTGTATTAACTACTATTGAATAAAAAATAATTAGAAAAAAATATATAATCAAGAATAGCCAAAAAACTATTTAAATTAAATTTACATTATTGAGAAATAATGTTCCAATTGTTTGTTAAACACTAATAAACTAGATTTTTTGATAAATTAGTAAATAATGAGATTTCATCAAAACCACTACATAACCTGCAGATAATTGAAAATCATTGATAAAAGTACTGAACGAAAAAGTGTCTTTAACATAAAAATCATGATTAGTGTCATAAGACTTCGTCAAGATATCTATTAAGAATGTTGATAATTTTCCATTTGGGTTATTAATTGAAAATACTATAGGCCGCATGGATAAAACAGGTTTATGAATTTTTGGAAGTATATATAACCTAGGAGTTAATGGATTATAAGAGGTTCATTGTCTAACAATTTATATTTTTGTTACAAATTTATTTGCCTTCTGTTGTAATGTGCAAGTAGCATCACCTCTAAGTTTGGAGTTTTATTTTCTATCATCAAGTAACAATTGTATCTTATTAATGTAATTCTCCCTGTACATCACACATACACACATGCATATGAATTATTAGAAATAATAGAACTATAAAATTGATCCAATCTCTGATTTATGGTTTTTAAATTTTTCTACAAAAATATGATTTGCTTGTACTTCTTTATATTGAGTCGGCAGTTTTAGCCGTTTCTATGCTGATTTCATTCTCTCTGGGCGCGTGAGTAATTTTTGACTAACGCGCATACACGCTCGTAAGGCTGGGCGCAAAATGAGACGCAGGGTGAGGTGAGGCAGCGTGAGTCACGGTGAGTTTTTATCACGGGAGAAAACTGCTAGAGCGCGAACCGCGCAAATTACAATGCAGTTTTTCACTTCATGTCATTTAGTGTAGGGTGGGTCACACGGTACTAGTACAACGAAATATGGAGACAATTGCTACTGCACTTACGCTTGAATTTCAATTTAGTTCTGAATCTGATTCGGAAAACGAATTCGAATCCGACACTATAGCGCTTATCTCCCAGCTGGCTGATAAAAAGTCAGGGAGAAGCTCATATATGAAAAGAAGAAAAACTCATGGAGAATTTATGTTAACTAAAGAATTTAGTGACGAACAATTCAACAATTATTTTCGGCTAAACCGTGATCAATTTAAAGAAGTGCACGAGATCATTAGGGAAGAAATTGATGCAGAAGGATGTAATGCAACAAGGCCCATTGGAACTGAAGAGAAACTAGCTGTATTCTTAAGGTAAGTTAGTTTATTAATTTACAGTGGTTAAGTGTAATATTAGTTATTAGGTTGGAAAGTATTAACATAGTTTTGAAGAGTAACTGAAGCCATAGAGTAATGGTCTTGTTCTTCGAGGTTATTATCAGTGGGGTTTTAAAGCGATTTCTCTGAATATACATAAGCTGGGGTTGATGAACCTCGGGTTGAACTGCTGCTACAAGACAGAGAGGTTGAAGTAGCGTATGGTAGTAGGGCTGTTGCTGGACAGAGCTCGGCTGCTGTTGGGCAGGACTGGGTTGCTGCTGGGTAGATTGTTGAGGAACATCATACATAGGATGAATGTTTAGTATCCTGGCTTCTACATCTGAAACCGCGTTGAAGACGCGATTTCTAACCATATGTTGATACAAGGGGGGCATTTTTTTAGTTGAGTAATACATAGATAAAAAAAAGTGAAATAGAGGATCGTTTTGTGTGGGTTGTAATTCTTTTAATAGAGTTTTTCTCTCTTCCGCCCTTGCATTAGCCCTCTGTTCGCGTTTTTCTATGCTTTGCCTAAATAAGGCAGTGACATCTTTTTTTATTTTTTTAGTCGATCTTGGAGTCGTCTTTAATGTCGAGGTTGATGAAGGTGGCACTGAAACTGAGTTATCTGGAAGAATTTGTATTTCATCATCTCCTACTCTTTCGTCTTGTATATTCACTTCTTCTTCTTCTTCTTGCGTGTTCACAGTTTCATTGTCCACCTCTGTGGAATCTTGGGTCATGATTACATCATCTTCTTCAGGGAGGTTTCCTTCCCTCGATTTGTTAGCCATGTAGGGCTGCAGGAACCCCATCTGCTTGTGGAACCTCCATTCCTTGATGGATTTTGCTGGTGCCCCACTTTTGTAACTCTTTTGTTGGCGTCTAATCGCGTCTCTTAAGGAATGCCTTAATTTCTCCCATAACGCCTTTGCTTCGGTTCCTACAATAGTTTTAGAGTAATATTAATATAACGTTAAACATTTTATTAATCATTCTATCATATCCCTTTGTAAGACTTCCAAAACAAATGTGACTTTCCAAAAACAAAGCCTTAATCATTTTTTTGTTGCAGGTACTTAGCCACAGGAAACAGCTACAAAAGTATTGCATACAGCTACAGAATGGGTGATCGAACGGTCTCTAATGTTGTGCGCGAAGTATCGCAAGCAATTTGGAAACTGATGCAACCGACATATTTGCCAGAACCTTCAGAAGAAGACTGGAAATCCGTTGCTCTTGATTTTGAAAGAAAATTGCAATTCCCGCATTGCATTGGAGGGATTGACGGGAAGCACGTTGTAATTAAAAAACCTGGAAAAAGTGGATCGTCTTATATCAACTACAAACGTACTTTCTCCATTNTGCAGTTCTTTATTCCCGACAATTATTTATCCCTACACTGACCGAAAATCGATCTACAAGATAGCTCTGAAAGTAGGCCGCCCGTTATACACCTGAGTAAGTATTGGTGTCGACATCTAAATTTTGGTCCCCGCCTGATTTATGCTCTAAATTCAAAATAAATCGTTACAATATTTATAAATTTTCCTTCCCTTTCGGGATCGATAAGAGATAGTTCGGTTTGGTTTATATATTTTGGATCCATAAAACATAACAATAAGTCTTTATATGTCGAACACATTTTAGGGTATACTTCGGTAATTACAACTTTGTCACTTTGAAAATATTCATTAAGTTCACAATTTTTGGGAGAACCCAATTTAAAAAATAAAAGTATAATTTATTTAAAGGATTTCGTAGGGCATACAAAATGTTTTCTGATGATAACAATCTATCTTCTATGGTACTCCTCGTAAAATACAATTCTAAAGCTGGCCATTGCTCTAGAATTCTTTTAACTACACTTAAAAGTGACAACCATCTTGTTTGCGATGCTTTTAATATTTTATGTGGCTCAACTTCGCAAAAATGCTGATATTCTTTAAGTTCCCTTTCGCGTTTGGCACTATTTTTAAAAATGTTATATATATCACGTGTCATATCTTCACAAATTCTAGGTAGTACTTTACAAGCCTGACTTACAACTAAATGCAAAGAATGGCAAACGCATTTATTTATTACTATGCCTTCAAAGTTCTCCCTAAGACGAGAAGAAACTGAATTGTGCGCTCCCATCATGGTGTTACATCCGTCAGACCCAAATCCTATAATGTTTTCAAGTGGAACATTATGTGACAAAAATGCATTGATAAGAATGCTATACAAATGTTCAGCTGTAGCACTAGTGTTCGCACTTTTCTCATCAAAAAAATTGAACAACTTATAAAACTGGGAAATGATTAGTTTTTTTTCTTCATCAAAAAATCTTACAACAATGCATAAACTACTTACTGTACCAATATCGGTACTTTCATCTATAAGTACACTAAATCTGCGTTTCAATAATTTTTCTACCAAAGTTTGCCTTTCGCACGGTGCAATTACATTTTTTACAATATTGGTTAACTTTGTTCTGCCTAAGGATAAGTTTCCCGCAACTTTTGAGTCTGGAAAACAACGTTTTAAAACACCAGTCAAATGGTCAGATGCCAAAAAAGCTATATTATGTTCTGAAAAGAACCCTGCTAACAATATTTCTGATTTTTTTGTCTGTTCAACGAGGATATTGTCACACTGAGGCTTCAAAAACTGAGAGAGAATTTTGCTCGATTTACAATCTAGTTTTGAGCTATTTTTTATGTGTTTAGCGCTGCCTTGGTGAGTTTTTAACACAGAAACATCACATTTTAAGTGTGCGTCGCAACATTTGCATTTCGATAGAAATCGGTTCCCTAAAAATAAAAGTTTGGTCTCTTTTCTTAAAGTTACTCTTTGTGATTTCATACCTTCTACATCAGTTATCCAAGGAAATTGTTTTTCCCATTCGGATCGATACTTCTGCTCAATTTCCTTTTTTTTTACAGTCGGACCTGGTCGATTATACTGGGAATCTTCAGCACTCATTTTATTTTGCCGCGACAAACAAATTGTACCGTGTGACGATGTACTGAATACGGAACTCTACTTGTAGTGTAGTTCGTCTTTCGAATTTCGTCTAGCATTACAAAAAGAGATAGGTATAGGTCGTATAATGGATATTGGCTAGCGCGAAACAGCAATGGCCAATGGGCAATGTACTTGCTGTTTGCAGTGCACCATAAAACATATAATACGGCAGTGCACCTGCACACGACGATGACCGATGACGCTTGGCCCACGTGTTTTAGAAAGTAGAGTAGAGATGTGGCCATTCGGTAATTCGGCATTCTTGTTAGTAGAGATGTGCGATGTTCGTTAATACCTATTATAGCAGACTTGACACATAGAATTAAAAATATGGTAGTACAATGGTATCTACAGCAAAAAAATGGTAGAAAAATGGAAAATGGTATCCTCAAAAAACTTATAGGTATGATGGACGAAAAATGGTATAAATACCATAAAAATGGTATATCTGGCAACACTGGTCACATGGTACTAGTACAACGAAATATGGAGACAATTGCTACTGCACTTACGCTTGAATTTCAATTTAGTTCTGAATCTGATTCGGAAAACGAATTCGAATCCGATACTATAGCGCTTATCTCCCAGCTGGCTGATAAAAAGTCAAGGAGAAGCTCATATATGAAAAGAAGAAAAACTCATGGAGAATTTATGTTAACTAACGAATTTAGTGACGAACAATTCAACAATTATTTTCGGCTAAACCATGATCAATTTAAAGAAGTGCACGAGATCATTAGGGAAGAAATTGATGCAGAAAGATGTAATGCAACAAGGCCCATTGGAACTGAAGAGAAACTAGCTGTATTCTTAAGGTAAGTTAGTTTATTAATTTACAGTAGTTAAGCATCTTATTAGTTATTAGGTTGGAAAGTATTAACATGAAGCCATAGACATAGAGTAATTGTCTTGTTCTTCGAGGTTATTATCAGTGGGGCTTAAAAGCGATTTCTCTGAATATACATAAGCTGGGGTTGATGAACCTCGGGTTGAACTGCTGCTACAAGACAGAGAGGTTGAAAGACCAGGTTGTAGCATATGGTAGTAGGGCTGTTGCTGGACAGAGCTCGGCTGCTGTTGGGCAGGACTGGGTTGCTGCTGGGTAGATTATTGAGGAACATCATACATAGGATGAATGTTTAGTATCCTAGCTTCTACATCTGAAACCGCGTTGAAGACGCGATTTCTAACCATATGTTGATACAAGGGGAGCATTTTTTTAGTTGAGTGATACATAGATAAAAAAGGTGAAATAGAGGATCGTTTTCTGTGGGTTGTAATTCTTTTAATAGAGTTTTTCTCTCTTCCGCCCTTGCCTTAGCCCTCTCTTCGCGTTTTTCTATGCTTTACCTAAATAAGGCAGTGACATCTTTTTTAATTTTTTTAGTCGATCTTGGAGTCGTCTTTAATGTCGAGGTTGATGAAGGTGGCACTGAAACTGAGTTGTCTGGAAGAATTTGTATTTCATCATCTCCTACTCTTTCGTCTTGTATGTTCACTCTTCTTCTTCTTCTTCTTCTTGCGTGTTCACAGTTTCAATGTCCACCTCTGTGGAATCTTGGGTCATGATTACATCATCTTCTTCAGGGAGGTTTCCTTCCCTCGATTTGTTAGCCATGTAGGGCTGCAGGAACCCCATCTGCTTGTGGAACCTCCATTCATTGATGGATTTTGCTGGTGCCCCAGTTTTGTAACTCTTTTGTTTTCGTCTAATCGCGTCTCTTAAGGATTGCCTTAATTTCTCCCATAACGCCTTTGCTTCGGTTCCTACAATAGTTTTAGAGTAATATTAATATAACGTTAAACATTTTATTAATCATTCTATCATATCCCTTTGTAAGACTTCCAAAACAAATGTGACTTTCCAAAAACAAAGCCTTAATCATTTTTTTGTTGCAGGTACTTAGCCACAGGAAACAGCTACAAAAGTATTGCATACAGCTACATAATGGGTAATCGAACGGTCTCTAATGTTGTGCGTGAAGTATCGCAAGGAATTTGGAAACTGATGCAACCGACATATTTGCCAGAACCTTCAGAAGAAGACTGGAAATCCGTTGCTCTTGATTTTGAAAGAAAATGGCATTCCCGCATTGCATTGGAGCGATTAACGGGAAGCACGTTGTAATTAAAAAACCTGGAAAAAGTGGATCCTCTTATATCAACTACAAACGTACTTTCTCCATTGTGCTGATGGCTATCGTCGACTCAAATTATAAATTCATCACTATTGATGTAGGGTCACAAGGAAGATTTAGTGATGGAAACGTTTTCAGTACAAGCGTTTTGGCAAAGAAAATGCTGAAACATACCTTACATCTTCCAGCACCTACTGAACTACCCCCACTTGTTGGCCCAATGCCGTATGTGTTTGTAGGAGATGAAGCGTTCCCATTANAGTCAGATTGTCCTCGGGTCTGTAATTCTTTGTCAGATTGTAAGTCATTTGGGATATCTTTTCGGTTAGCCCTGACTGTGCCGCATGCATAAGTAAATTCTGCTTGAAGTGTCTTCTGTAATGGCACAGAGTTGAAAAAGTGATAATCTTTCCCTACCAAATCTCGCGTCAAATCTAAAATAACCCTTTGGCCCAAGTCTTTTTCAGGTTGATTATTAATTTTTCCAACATATATCTGAAACTGGCAGACGTATCCATTCTCGTTAGATCGAACCCAGACTTTATACCCTCGTTTGATGGCTTTTAGGGGCATAAATTGTTTGAAAAAACTGCGACCCTTAAAACGAATCATAAATTCGTCAATAGATTGATGTTTTGAACGGGCGTAAGAAGAACAAAAGGTTTCAGATAAAGTATCCAATAAAAAGCGAACTTTGTACAACTTGTCATAGTTTGGTGAGTCACGAGCAGGTATCACTGAATTGTCTGCTAAATGCACATTTCCCAGAAGCCAAGCAAACCTATCTCTAGACATTGCTGAACCTATGTAGTGATCTCGTAATTGTTCCCTAGACGACCAGTAATCACAATAACTGGGCAACTTTTTAATTCCCATCAAGATATTTATTCCAATGAAAATTTTGATCTCTTTGGCAGAAGTTGGTGTAAATGTAGAGTCTCCACCACGTTTTTGTAAGGCATATAGATTCGTTTCAAACACGATTTTGTCAATTAAAGTTTTCGGTAACAAGTGTAAAAAAATCAACTGGCCTCTCCAGACCATCTGGAACTTTAGGACCAGTTTCCTCCGTAAACTCCTTGATATTGGTAACGCAATACTCCGCTGACTTGGTCCAGATTGTCTTTTTGGCTAGTTCCCTATCTCTCAAAAGAGAAAGGGGAATATAATCTTCCTCGTCATCAGTAATATTCTCTGTATTGTCGGCTCTTGGAAGCTGGTCTGGCTGGTCGTCTACAAATATTATTGGCAAATTCGAT